TAGGTTGACATGCTAGGGTTCCCTGGTTCAGGCCACAGTACTCACTGCAGGTAGGGAGCAGCTACCATTGGATTTTGACATTGGCAAGCAGCCCATGCTGTCATGTCCTTCTGATCTCAGACATGTCAGAATCTCAGATCTCAAGAACTAAAGCCTATGGGTATATGATCTAGCCTCAACTCAGGTGTTCCATATTGGGTCACCTCCACTGCTGATTCATGTGCAATGGAATCAACAACCTCTCAAAATAATGATGGCAATATGGGGGACACAACCACCAGTGCTAGTTAGCAATTCTCCAGCTTGTGAAAAGGATCCATTTGATAAGAGATTTCAGAAACTGGGATGGGCAAGCATTTGCTAAAAAGATGTGGTGAATTTGCACCCTTAAGCAACTGTTAAGATCAAGGGTCAGAAATCTCTGAGGAAGAAATGAAATCAAACCGCTATGGAGCTAACTTAAAGTCATGAGTCGGAAACCATACATCTCTTGCTGTATGTAAATTTTTCCCTCCCAACTTTCTCAGCCATGACATGGCCCACATGTGTCCTTTATCTCCACAGGAGCTGGGAACCCCAGTTTGTTTTCCATGTTGGTGTCAGGAGTACAACACATTAGCAGAAAAGTTGGCATCAGGAGTAGAGCCAAGGCTTAAATTATGCGCCTCAATGTGGGGTGTCCCAAGCAGCCTCTTTTTTTTTTTAATTGGAAAGGCAGATATACAGAGAGGAGAGACAGAGAGGAAGATCTTCCATCCAATGATTCACTCCCCAAGTGAGTGCAACGGCCAATGCTATGCCGATCCAAAGCCAGGAGCCTCTTCCGGGTCTCCCACGAGGGTGCAGGGTCCCAAAGCTTTGGGCCGTCCTCTGTTGCTTTCCCGGGCCACAGGCAGGGAGCTGGAAGGGAAGCGGGGCTCTTGGGATTAGAACCAGCGCCCATATGGGATCCCAGGTGTGCAAGGCGAGGACCTTAACCACTGCGCCACTGCGCTGGGCCCCCAAGCAGCCTCTTAACCAGTGTGTCAAATGCCCAAACAATGGTTAAGTTTTTGTTAAGCATAGATACACTAGATCAGTTTGCTTTTATTTCCAACCTAACTAACTTGGATTTTTGAGACTGTGTTGAAACTATAAGTCAAATTAAGAACTGATACTAGATTACCTTATTCCCTTCCATAGAATGCTTTTCTATTTATTCAGAGTTTTTCTATACTTTTATCAGAATTTTACAGATTTTCTCATATAAATATCTCTATGTATTTTGTTAGATTTAAATATGAACATTCGTATGAACATTGTATATTAAGTGTACCTAATATCTCATGTTTTATGCTAATATACTTCCAATTTCGAAGTCCTGGTTTTTCATTGTTACTATACAAAAGTATTTGACTTTCTGTATAACAGTGTAACCCACAAACTTACTTTAATAAATATTGATTCTTTAAGGTGTTCTATTTAGGCAGTCATGTCAATCTGTGGACAAAGACAATTTTAGGGTTTTTTTTCCTAAAATGTATGTCTTTTTAGACTTTTCTTATTTTACTCCATTTGCTCAGATTTCTAGTATAATGTTTAGTAGGAGTGATAATATGGGCATTCCTTTTTCCTGATCTTAGTGAGAACATCCACATTGTAACTATTATGCATACTGTTAGCTATAGGGATTTTTCGTAAAGTTGAGGAACTTCCCTTCCATGCTTTTAAAATGTATATTATATTGAAAAGATAGGGCTGCAGAGGAGGAGAGAGAGAGATCATCCAAGCTGATTCGCTCTCTAACGATTGCAATGGTCAAGGTTAGGTTGAAGCCAGGATCCTGGAACTTCATCCTGATCTCTCTCATGTGTGGCAGGGATCTGGGTAACTAGATGGCCCCCTGTTGCTCTCTGAGGACTATTAGCAGGGAGCTAGACTGCAGGTGGAGAATAGGTACTGGGCTAGGTACTGTGCTCGTATGGAACACTGACATTGCTGAATCCACTGTGTCACAATCCTGACCTGACCATCCTACCCTATTTCTACTTTCCTTGTGGTTTTATCAGATATGACTCTTGGAGTTTAATTAGACTCTTCAAGTTTCTTTGATTTATTATTTTATTGTAGCAATCACACTTAGCGTTGGCTTTTTAAGTATATGGCATGTTATTGTTGTCTACAGGTACAAGATGGCAGAGCAGATCTCTAGAGCACCTGGCAGTACCATTCCATTTTTTAATTATATCAATTTGACTAGTTTAAATATTTCACAAAGTGGAATCAGGTAGTGTTTGTCTTTATATAAGTGGCTTATCTCATTTGGTATAATATTTTTTAGGTTCATTCATGCTGTTGCAGATTATAGATTTCCTTCTGTGAAAATGAATTGTATTCTACTCTGTGTGTATGCCACATTTAGATTGTTTCCACATTTCTGATTACTGAGAATAGCCCTGCAAGGAGCCTAATTTAAAGTATTATAATCAGATATTATAATACCCATCAATTGTATTGCTTCTAAAATTTTAAACACACACACACACTCATACATCCTCATGAATTAGGAAAAATAGAAATTGCTAAGGGATTGCTGCAAATAATGCAAAAATATATCTAGAGATTTTGAGTTGATATATATAGATTTTTTACTCTTCCTAAACTGATGTATTTGTATAAGGGTCAAGAACCATTTACTTAAAAATGTGCAAAAGTAACCAAGACACTTATCATAGAATGATTACAGGAAATGTGGTAAAGGTTATGTTAGAAAGCACTGGGCTGTAACTGTCAAGAGGAACAATGTGCAACAGATCAATCGCCCAATATTTTACCTGTTTATTTAACTACAAATGTAAACTAGAATGTATAATGAGAAACCCAGCATTCTGTAAGTCCATTTCTTTAAATTTCAGTGTTCTTTTTAGAGAAGGGGATAAATCCTTTTTTTTTTAATCATTATACAAAAAAAGATTTTATTTTGGGAAAGTGACCTCTAATTTATGGCAAATTTTACTTTCAAAAATCAAATCACAGAACACAGTCTAATTCAATCTTAAAGGCGGGCATGGTGAGCAAGGAAAGTTCTTATTCTCTACAGAAGCTCCTTCTTTACACTGTCAGGTATCAGGGCTCTGCCTTTTGGAGTAATTTCAGTCACCAAGTCATCAACAGTAACCTGTTCTAGTCTTTTTTCTTTGATTACCTCTTTTCAAGGAGCCTTCAGCTGATCCTTCCAGCCACATTCAGTTAATTTAGCTCGCAGCAACTCTTTGAGGCATTCTCGTTCTCCAGTTTCTATCAACTTGTGGTTAATCGCTGCTTTCATCTGTGCATCTTTGTTCATCTTACTAACCACCATCACCACAGGCGAGGGCCGTCCTTTCCCAGCAACGAAATGACCCTTGCACTGGAGACCGTTACTTACCACACTCTTGGGCTGCCTGGACTTAAGGGCATAAGTCTTAAACACATTTTATGGTCTATAACCATTTTATGTATGTTGATTATTCTCCAGTACTTGCTTCCGGATTAAGTTGGGCTGTGCCAACATTTTACACAGACTTTAATATGTATCCTACCACTGGTGTAGAAGAAATTACAACTCTTGATGCAATGGTGTATCCGTAGAACTTGAATTTGATTATTCAAAGCATGTGTATTTCTAGCTCTAATTTTAATAATGTATTAGGTGTATCTTGGTAGTTCCTTTAGTATTAATGAACATACTGGAGGGAAGTTGTTGCTTTAATAGTAGTGAAAAGATCTGAAGGCGTGCATAGTGTTTAAGCTAGATTAAATGGGGGATTACAACTACAGATTTTTAAAGATTCATAATTGCATTCAGACTTTTCTGTTTCATCTTTTGGAGCTTGATCACCCCCAATACATGTTAAGCGTAGCAGATTGTTTTTGTTTTCAAAGTCAAAGGGCACAAGAGAAGCAACAGCATTTGCTCTGGTCCATGTGTCAGTGACCTTTCTGCATCATGTTTTGTGATGTCTTTCTTCCCTAAATGCTTTTTACAAATATACTGATGAAAAAAGATTTCTGTTATCTGTCTTCAGTGGGTCATAAATCAAAGTAGGACTCTATTTTTTCTTGAAAATATTCACAGTTTTGACATGGCTTTAAGCTTATCATTGCCAAAATAAACACAGCTGTAAAAAATGATGATCTTCTGATCTTTGTAATAATAAAATAGTGTCCTAATGTCTCCCTGATTCTGGACATTAAGTTAATATTCCCCTAGATTTCTGAGTCCCATTCATTCCCTCCCCCCCACCCCCGTGGAAACTCCATGAAGAATACAGCTTTTGACCGAATGACAGAGCATAGAGGATGAAATTAGTTGCATTAAATTAGAATATGACAAAAAGCCTTTCCAAATCTTTGTCACAATGCAACATTCAAGCATTAAACCAGAGTGAAAGTAGACTATGGAAGAGAGCTAAAATGGAAAAAAGAAATTTTGTGAACGAGATCACATACATGATTTAAAAAGGTCACTGATAAGAAATGAGTGAGCTAAAGCAGTTTATTACTTGAAAATCCTGCTCTTCAACCCCACGTGCAGTCTCTTCTTATTTGATCTTGGGTGTAACATGAGTTGGTATACTGTCTTTTTTATATTTCTCAAAAACGCAAGTCTCCCCTTACTTAAGTGTTACATTAAAAAAAAGAAGTATGAATAATAAGATCTGTGTTTCTGTGCAGCTTTTCACTTCTAAGTATTTTTCTTTAGAAAGAAGCATTAATTTTGTAAACTAACTTTAAGGAAAATCGTCTTTGGAAAGAAAAAGGAAAATTATTCCTTTTGTGACAAGTCAATTCATTCTTAATTTTTAATCCTGAAAAAAAATCTGATCTTCATTTTATACATTTAGTTCTCCCACGTTGGGTTGTAGGAAAAGAAAAGCCTATGATAGAGTTAATCTAACTACATGGAAGCTCATGCTGGTATGATCATAATCTTGATTTTTGATCAAATCTGAGCTAGTAATGTCTTGTGATTAATCAAAATGTACTACACTGCCTTTAGTATAAGTCATCTTCACAGATGGACCAGAGAATCAGGGTACTTTTAAGTATTTGTTTTAATCTCTTCTAGGATAAAAATGGCTTTGGTTTTTCGTTTTGTTTGTTGTGTTGAGTTGAGAAAGGCAGGTAAACTTTGACTCAGATTGAACTATGCCAATAAATGGGAAGAAATTTTAAGGGCAATTTTGCCAAGATTATAGATTTAAAAAAAGAGCAAACTTGTTTAATTGATAGTACTGTAAAAGAGGCATCACACATCTTAAAAGTTGTCAAATTGTTATTAACATGTAGCAAAGCATCCTATTCATTTATAATGTTTAATAAAAAGAAACTTCAAAGATGAATATATTTAAGTATCTGTCTCCTGGAAATAACATGAAGATTTTCGTTATCCTCAATGACATACGAGATTTTTAAAGATTATTAACTGTCCCTCGTGGATTATGCAGTTCCAGCCTAACTGACATCTGATAACAAAGGGCTTTACTCTGGCAGCTACACATCTAACACCCAGCACGCAGCAGGAGCTCTCAGATTCACACACAGCAGTTTACGGAAGGTGCTTGTCATTTAGGATGTGCAGGGTGGTGAGCTGCATTGAAGGGGTTTTTAACATCTTTGAGAGGTGACTGAAATGTTCCTAAGGGCACAGATACAGTTGTGGGACTCCAGGGCTTGCATCCTTATACACATCTTGCCCTTGAGTCATTTCATGACTTTAGAGAAATTTCGTTTTTACTTTCAGGCTTTGAGATTTCCCTTACTTGCAAACTGCAGATTGCAATGAAGTTTCAATAATGTCATCCAAGTCCTAACTTTGCAATCTGTCAATTCAGAGAAAATTTCTAAAATACACTGTACATTGTGAAGAACACAGCTCCATTACTGCACTTAGTACACTTAAGTGATTTTTAAGAACTGAACATGCTATAATACATCACCTCCCTAAGAATTGCAGCTAGCTAAAAATATAATTGAGGGTATCTTAAGTTTAATTTAAAAATTGGCTTATATTCTTGTTTTGTGGAAAGACAAAAATACCTTTACATAGTTGTTCTTAAAATGAAGTAGGGTTAGTTTGATTGGCACAAAGCATATAAAACCATAGTGTTAATATAAAGTAGTAACGAAAATGGTTTGTTTGTCTAATTTCCAACAAAGTAGCTTAACTAAAACTTGATTTAGGTCTGGCTGATAGCAAACCACAAAGTGTATAGTAGACAATCACAAGCGTTAGCCAAACTAAGTTTGGGTCTTGTTGACTCAATTTGTCAGGCAACATTTATATCATGATTATGAAAAAAAAAAAAAAGAAATCCAGGCGGTGATCATTTGTTTTTACCAGCATTACACTAAGTTGACAATTTGATAGACTGTATTACATGAAAGTTGATTAAGTTTCCTTGAGTTCCCCTTAGTCACAGAGCTACAGGTCTATAAGTGCCTATTTATAAGGGTGGAAATTGAACATGCTGTGAATGAGACAGGTTGTGGCTACACTGTCAAGTAGCAATTTGGGCCTTGATTAACATGATTTCTCAAAAAAAAAAAAAAGTTGCTTACCAAAACTTGTGAATTAAACTAAGAGCCATACATATTAGAGCATCTAAGAAAACACATGGAAGAATCTGTGCAATTCATGCCAATCATTTCTAGATTATGTAAGTAAGTATTACATGCATTGAAATAGTAGTCGTTTGATTTTTTTTTTTTGTCTTCGTTTTCTTGTAGGAGACCTGGTGAACCTCCATTGATAAAAGGCTGGATTCCCTATCTTGGAGTGATATTGAGTATCCGAAAAGATCCCTTAGGTTTCCTGAGAAGTCTTCAAAAGCAACATGGTGACATTTTCACTATTCTGCTTGGGGGTGAGAAGATCTTATTATTTTTTAAGATTATCTTTATTTGAAAGGTAGATATTACAGAGAGAAAGAATAAGAGATAGAGAGAAGTTCTTCCATCCACTGGTTCACTCTACAAATGGCCGCAGCAGCCACACTGAGCTGATCCTAAGCTGGGAGTTAGGAGCCTCTTAGAGGTCTCCCACATGGATTCAAGGGTGCAAGATCACCCAGGGGGGATGCCAGAGCCACAGGATGGAAGATTAGCTTGCTGTGCCGCGAATGGATCCCAGAAGTACTTCCATAAGCATCAAATATATGGTATAATCTTTGACCTGTTCTGAAATGTCTTCATAGTTTTCTCCTGGCAAAATGAAGAATGTCTATAGAATAGTACCTTAGTTTTAGAACCAGTGCAAAAGAAAGCAAGAGTTTTGAGTACAATAATCCTTACATTAAAAAACTAATTATCCAGGGTGAGTTTGGCATAGCAATTAAGACACCTGCATCCTATATTGGAGTGCTTGGGTATGAAGCCAAGCCCTGCTCCGGACTACAACTTTCTGCTAATGCAAGTCATGACAAGCAAATGGATGGCTTAGTTGGTTGAGTCCTCATCACAAACAAGAAGACCTGGATTAGATTCCTAGCTCTCAGCTTTGGCCCCTGGCTCTCAGCATCCAGGCCACCATGAATGTTTTGTAAGTGTTCACCAGATGGGAATGCTGGCTCTTTCTCTCCCTCCTTTTCTCCTGCCACTTGAGTGAATAAATGAAGAAAGAAATGAAAGAATACAAAAACCTCTTGGTGATACCTACAGAACCTCACATTCCTGCTAACACCTGTCATTCTGATTTGGTTTGATTTGGTTCCATTTTAAGAGAATTAAAGAAAAAGGAAAAAAAAACACTAGGATTTCCTTTACTTTGTACAATGCTTTTAAGTTTTCAAAAAATGTGGTGGATAGTTCAGAGAGTTCCCATATGCTCATTTCTTCTCTTTCAAGACTTAATACACTGTAGCATATTAAGTACATTCATTATAACAAACGAGCCAATATTCATATGTTATTAAAAGTCCATGAAACAATAGGGCCTGCTCTTTGAATTGTGTAGACTTTAGGGTTTTGATAAATTCATAGCAGCAATACCAATCGTTACTGTATCATAAAGAGTAGTTTTGTTACACTAAAAATGCATCATGCTCCACATATTCATTCCAGGTGTTCCATCTTGGGATTCCTAAAAGCCATTGATGTAGAATACATTTTTCATGTCAAAATGTTCATTCGGTTTCAAATTTCAATAAAATGGTTGCCAAAACAAACAGCAAGATTACTATTCCCTGTAAACATCATAATGTTTGATGGAGAAGTAGGAACATTTTAGCTCTTGTTTTTTTTTTTTCTTTGTGATTCTTTTCTTTAAGGAGGAAGGCAGGAAAGGAGGAAGGGAAAGAGGGAGGAAGAAGAAGCACTCCCACCTTCTGGTTTACTGCCCGCAGGCCTGCAATGGTCAGAGGATGGGTTGAACTCGGGCGAGATGGCCCAAGATGACCTTCCTGCACGCCTGCTTCGGCTTCCTTCCCATGGTCCTTTTTTCTAAAGAAATTTTTCCCACATTGGCAGTTAGTGATTCAACGAGGAGCATCGGAAAACCTGCAAGATCTCTTGAGTCCTGGTCTCAGAGACTGCAAAAGCATCATTTCCACTAGATTCTATCAGATTAAATCATGGTACAGTCCAGGTTCAAGAACAGTGTACTGTATTAGATTCTATCTCTTCCTGGAGCAGCAGCTGTTACACTGCACAGGCGCACATGTGGGAAGGCAAGACACATTGATTCTGGCCATCTTTCCTAGCTGGCGGTTCCTTTACTTCACGTTTATCTGTCCTGCCAATATGCAGAAAGCTGAAGTTTAGACTAGTTTGTCCTAATCTCTGGTTTGCTTTCTAACCTTCCTTGCCTGTGGAAGGAGTGGGAAGACTGTGTATGAGCTTCCTGACTCCTGGCTGTGGTAAGACAGTCTACTCTTTTCCTTTTGTTTCATAAAGTACTTGATGTCATGAGGTTTAATCTCTTCAGCATCCCCACAAGCTTACTAGATGTACTTGTGCTTCACAATTGCCCTCACCACCTTTTCTCCAATCTCAGACTGCTTGCGATAACCCAACGACTCTTTGTTCTTAACCTTGTCTGACCATGGGAAGTATCTACATCATCATTCATTCCTTTCACACTAATATGAGAGAACTTTAAAATAAAAAAGTTAATGGGAAAATAGAATTAGACATTTCTAATTTGATGCAAAAACGATTTTGAAAGCCCTGAATAGTAGAGGCTGGCATTATGGCACCTTTCCAGAGATTATGAAAATAAAATTTGAGTCATAAAATAAATCATACTTTCTTAGAAAAAAAAAGATTTATTTTATTTTTATTGGAGAGTCAGGTATACAGAGAGGAGAAGAGACAGACAGTAAGACCTTCCATCCATTGATTCATTCCCTATATGGCCGCAATGGCTGGTGCTGAGCCAATTCGAAGCCAGGGGTCTGGGGCCTCGTCCCGGTCTCCCACATGGGTGCAGGGTCCCAAGGTTTTGGGTCATCCTCGACTGCTTTCCCAGGTCACAAGCATGGAGCTGGATGGAAAGCAGGGCTGTTGGGATTGGAACCGGCATCCATATGGGATCTCTCCTGGCACACACAAGAAGAAGACTTTAGCCACAAGGTTACCGCACAGGGCCCTTAAATTATATCTTTTCTGTTAACTCTTTGAAGTACCTTCCTATTTTTAACTTTTCTTTTCTTGAGTCCTTCCCCTTAGATTATTATCATGGTTAAGTTTCAGTTTTATTCTTCTAGTTACTCTTCCCTCTCTCTTTCTGCCTTTTTTTTTTTTTGCATCTAGAGTTTTCAGGAGAATAACCCAGAGTGGCTGACTCTGTGGCTCATCCGTGGAGCTCTCACTCCAGCTTGCTGACAAGTTTACAGATCCACGTGACTAGACCTGTCTACCTGCTTTCACCATGATTATTTCTCATTTCTTTCTGAATTATGGAAAACACTGTTGACTCTCCTGACTTAAGCGCTTTTTTTGTTCTTTCATGGACGGAGTAGTTCTTATCTGCATCATCTTCAAGTGCACCTGTTCCTTAACTCCAATTCTCTATTTTATTCTCTTCCTAAAGAGCAGTGACTTGATTTCAGGGCAATAGTTTTAATGTAGAATAAGGGGTGGGTGGGTGGAATGAACCAACCAGATTATGTAACTGAATGCTTTTGTAAGCAGGCAGTAGTTTTTATTACATCTTACTCACTTTGCTGGCAGCTGGAAAAGCCTCTTCAAATAATAATATAATATATACACTCTGGTATCAGGAAGATTGAATAAGGAAAAGCATGCATCTTAGTAACAGAAGAGCACTTATTACTGCTCTGCAACCTCTCCAAGATCCAGTCTCCACCTACATTTGCAACTCTAGCTCTTCTTACAATTTGCTTGTATAGAATGCACCATTACCGTACCATGTTGTCTAAATTTCCTCCCCTTCTGTGCCTCTGTGTTTTCTCTTGTGTTTCCTCCTGCCAGACTCCATTCTTCCCTGAGTGGCATGAACTTATATTTTGAGACCACACATGACTTCCCAAATGCCCTTGCTAGCCATTTCTTCCTTCAGTTGGTGCCTCTTCTCCAGGGTCCAATTATTCCCAGTATCACTTCTGTCAGAGCATTTAGTACATTGTAAATTTATTGCTAATTCACTTGTCTGTCTCCCTTCATTATTCTGTTAGCTTCTCTATTACCAACATTTTGTCCAGAGCTTAGCACTGATTAATTCACAATAAATATTTGATGGGAAATTCCTAACACCTCAGAGGTTATGAATTGTTATAATACAAATAAAGACCATGGCTTATGCTTCTTTTCTAACTGAGCTTTTGGCTGCATGATGCAAACCTGCATTCTTCACTTTTCTTACCTTAAAATCTAAATTTGGGTTTCTAATAAGTGGACACATCAAATGATCAAATGGTTCATTTTCTTTTTGCTTTTTTGTTTTTAATATAGTGTATCCAAAATAAGCTAAGTGAATTAATTATAAACTTGTGTTGTATCCAAATAATGTTATTCGTTTTTTTAAAAAAAATATTTCTACCAATAGTTGATATTTTCATCTGAGACATGAAGAAGCTTGCTGTATTTCTAATGTGAAACAATTTGACCGTGGTTATACTGAACTGCATGGTAAACAACTACCGTTAAAAACGAATACTCCCACTTTCCTTGCACTTCTAACTTGAGGTTGGGTAAACTCTTATCCGGAAATCCAGTTAACATATATGGTTCTTTGGATCAGTTTTCAAATTAGCTCATTTGGAAAATGTGAAGAACAAAGTCTTCCACTATTGTCCCACAATGTGATTTCAGTGGTTGTACATTCTTGCGTGATGAGCAAATGATTGTCACCCGAAAAAGTCCCAAAGGACACAGATGTCATCTTAATAAGGAAATTAAAAGGTACATCTTTTCGTGAGAAAGTGTGTAGATTCGTGACCTGTCGCAGAAAATAGTTCTCTACTTGGTTCTGTGTGCTGGTGCAGCGAATCTTTTCCTTACATGTCATCCCAGGGAAGCTTCACCACACGTCATTGTCAAGGGTTAGTGAAATCTCCCTAATAAATGGGTGGGTAGGTAAATGTGGTTATCTTCGAAAATAAGAAGTTGGTTCCCATTGTACTCTGCCATCTAGTATTTTCAATTTGAGATATTAATGACATTCTATTGAATCAATTAAAACTGACTAAAAGTTGATAATTATGTAGAATTTCTTCAAAATTCAAATTTCTCATACTTGTTCAGTGGCTATGTCTGTTCACAAAAAAGCCAAAGAGTTAACCTGAATTCTCATGACTATGTTGTATTTTTGTTTTAGCTTTTGTTTTTGTTTAAGATTTGCTTATTTTTATGGGAAAGTCAGATTTACAGAGAGAAGAAAAAGCAGAGAGAAAAACATGTTCCATCTACTGATTCGCTCCTCAAGTGGTCCCAAAGGCCAGAGCTTAGCCAATCCAAAGCCAAGAGCCAGGAGCTTCTTCTGGGTTTCACATGCTGGTATATGATCCCAAGGCCTTGAGCCATCCTTCACTGCTCTCCCATCCTTTGGAGCTAGATGGGAAGTGGAGAAGCCAGGAAAGGAACCGACACTCGTATGGGGTCCCAGTGTATGCAAAGTGAGGACATCAGCCACTAGCCCACCATATCGGGCCCACGGCTATGTCTTTATACAGCAACAAATATATGAAATTTAAGCATCTAAATTCAATTTATGGTTATACAGATGTCATACTTCTTATTTATGAGACACTGGGCTGAATGATTTGAGGGTTTTTTTTTTAACATAATATTCAACGTATTTCAAATCCTGTGTCTTTAGCTTTCTACAGAATTAATTTTGAAGAATACAAAATGGCTGTTGAATCGAATTAGTAAAGGGTTATATTTAAGTTATACAGCAATGCTAGAGTTAATATTTATAGTCCAGCTAACTATTCAAAAAGAACATGAATCAAATAATTGGTAATAAATATGTGAAATTTTTTAATCCGATTTCAAATTTAATGTTCAAAGAAATGACTTGATATTTCAGTTTTGCAGACATGGGCTCCATTTTGACATTTGTATTTTAGACAAATGCAAACTCTGATATTCTTTAAATCAATATTTCATACCAACTGCTGACAGCATTTTCTTCTCTTTTGAAAACATGGCAAAGAATATTGTCTGTACCTTGCGATCTTTGTGAACCATACAGCATGCCTGTTGACACTTGGCATTTATTTACATAAATCACACTGAAGCAAAAGTTAATTTTGCTCCAGGAATACATGGTTTTCACAATAACTTTTTAGACAGTTTCCTTTGTTAGAAAGTTTTAATTTATTTTATGAATGTATATGTGTTTTCCTGACTGCCTGATTAAAGATCACAAAGAAACTCTGGTTTTGCATCTCACATTAGCAGATGGTGGACAGATGGTTTAAATTAATATTAATTTTGGAAAACTTAGCTTAAATTGTTTATGCTGAAGATTAGAAGTTGGAAAGCCAGCTAACATCTCCAGGGTTATAAGTACTTCCAAACCCACTTGAAAAGTAAAATCTAAAGAAATAAAATGTCTGCTTCTGTAGCAATCCACAACTCAGACAGAAATATGGTACTTGAGATACAGTGCCTTTATGTTGAATAAAAGCAAATAAAAAGGTCGGAATGAAATTAAAAATTCTAGAGTGAAAAGAGCCTTGAAAAAAAAAATAAGAATTTTATCTAAAAAATTAAGCTTATCAGAAATGTTTTTTAAAGAGCAGAACCAAAATGTAATAGATTTCTTTTTAACAAATTAATTTATTGGTGATTAATTTCTATCCTGGAATAGTTTTTTTCACAAGTTATTTGTTGTATTTGTAATTAACCTCATAGTTTCCATACCTTCCCTCCTAAAGAGTTTGCCATGATGGAAAGATGAGAAAGAAACAGGGGAAAAGAAAGAGAAACAGGGAGAGAAAAAAGGGAGAGAGGGATGCGGGAGGAGAGATAGACAAAAAGTAAGTAAGCAGATCTGGAGGAGAGGGAGAGAACACATGTATTTATAATCAGAAATAAAACAGAACTTCTAACATCTTCCAGCCACTAATGAAGTCATCCCAGCAACAGGTGCATCTTGTCATCAAGTCTGATTATATTTTTTGTCTTTACACATAGATTTAGTTGAATGTAGATAATGTGCTGATAAAAATTTTAAAAATATTTTATAAGACTGTGTATTACAATCTTTCATATACTCTTTGAATTTTAGATAATAATTTAGCCAGGAGGATATTTAGCAAAATATTTTTTCATTTAATGAGGAGAGAAAAGTATGAATCATCACCTGTAAAAATACACCACTTTGCCTAAAACTGTACGTTTTGCAAAATGATATTTGATTATTTTCAATTATTTGTCAGGCAGATGCTAGAATGTTGATTTAATTAAACGGCTATGATAAAGCAAGTGACATAAAATGTGCCCAATTCCAGTACAGTCCTTTTTGCTCTCCCTGGGGCAAAAATCTAACTAATTAACTAACTGATCCAAATTACCAATCTGACCAAAATGAGTGGCCAACTCCCTGCTAATGCAAATTGCTGAAGGAATTGAGTTTGTTCCACTCACAAGGGAGATGGACAGTGCATCCACAGGCCTGGCTGCAGCCTGATCCTGTTATGGGCATTCGGGGAGTGAGCCAGCAGATGGGAAATATTTGTCTCTTTCTCTCTTGCTCACTCATGTGGTCTCATTCTTCGCCTTTCAAATAATTGAGCAAATAAATAAGAAAATGTTCCAACCTTTATTTTAAATGTCCTGTATCAACTTTAATTTCTATAATGCCATGTTTGAGTTACCACAAATAACAAGTGATAAGCTATTCACCTAAAATAGCTGTACACACTCCAATCCCCAATATACACAGGATTAACGAAGACAGTAACTAAATAGATATTAAAGTTTTTGAAATCACATAGACTTCAAATATACTTTGGACAAAAAGATTTATTAAACACTACTTGCATAATATTTCTAATTAGAAGGAATTTTTAGAATGTCTCTATTTAGAAGGTGTGTGGTGGGGCAGTTAGGATGCCCAGGTGGGAAGTCTACACTCCACATCAGAGTGCCTGGATGGCTTCCCAGGTTGGCTTCCAGTTCCAACTACCTGTTAATGCATACCCTGGGAGGCAGCAGATGATACCTCAAGTAGCTGAGTGTCCGCCACCCACATGGAGACCTGAATAGTTCACAGCTTCCAGCTGCAAGCTGGTCCAGCTTGCACGCAGGCATTTAGAAAGTGATATTTTCTCTCTCTCTCTCTCTCTCTCTCTCTCTCTCTCTCTCTCTCTCTCCCTCCCTCCCTCCCTCCCTCTCCCCCTCCCCTCCCTCTCAAATAAATGCTTTTTAAAACACTCTAATGAGAAAAAAGCAGCAACAGGATCTTGGCTGTTTCAACTTCTCCCGATTTTCTTATTTGTTTTCATATTATTATTATTATTATTTGAAAATAATACCAAATGGCTGCAGTGACTAGGGCTGGATCAGGCCAAAGCCAGGAGCCAGAGGCTTCTTCCAGTTTTCCTAGTGGCTATAGAGACCCAAGCTCTTGACCCATCAGCTACTGCTTTCATAAGCTCCATGCTGGCTCTTTCTGATTTCCCAAAGTTTCTCTACTGATAAACCTGGTGGTCAAGCTATTATTCTCCCAAGTCCCTGATAGGTCTTGTAAAGTCAACTATAACTTTGTTAAGGGTGCTGTCTTATGAGAATTACTTGAGGAGCTCATTAAAAACCTAAACTCAGAGGCCTCAGTTCTAAGCCTTGTGAATTTTAATCTTGTAGGAATCTGCATTTTTGCCAAGGCTCTCAAAGTTTTTTGTTTCTTTTTTTTTTTTAATGATAAAATAGTCTTAGGGAATACTGACATATAGGAAACCTAGTATTATCATCTGAAGGAACTCGTGCTGACAACTCAGCAAATTCCATCTTCTGCTTCCCTTACTTTGTACATCTCTCCTGTACCCTTGTCTGTAACAATTCAGTGATCTCTACATCTGTATAACTCAAGAGAGAAGGCATCCAGGCAAGTCTCTGCATGTCATAAATGTTGAATGAGTGGAGAAGTTCTAGACTGGAACTCCATGTCAGTCATAGGTCAGTAATGACCTTGTATGTGTTACTAAATCTCCCTGAACTGCTATTTTCTTATTTATTAAAAAAAATGAAAATACTTTGAAATTTATGATTTTGTGTTAGTATTGATTTTGTGGATGCCTGTTTCATATCCTAGGCATATCTGACTAGAGCTAAAATGACAATGCTAAATAGGGAAATGATTTTGGTAAAATCTAAATTATCAGTAATGGAATGGCTTAGTTTCAATTTAATTCACTATTTTTATTTGCTTTACTGGGGGAAAATATGAGCAATGTGTAAGTCAAGGGGTCCTAGGAACATTTATAAGATTTTCAAAATATTTGAATGCTTAGTTGAAATGTGAAAGGGCAGTTTATTTTTTTAGAGGTCAATAACAACTTCAATATATTCAACTAAAAGCTTTTGGGATTTTTTTCCCAGCTTCTTCCACTTTTAAAAGAAACATGTATTTCTAATCAAAAGAAATATAATTCATTTTTATTCAATGCTATGTGTTAGTTGTTAGTGTCTTTCTAAGTCTCATTGAGCTATTTTCAAAATGAAGGTATATACTTTTGTTTTGCTACCAAATGAACTTACACTTTTTTATTTCTTCTAGGGAAGTATCTGACATTTGTCCTGGACCCTTTCCAGTATCAATTCCTAATAAAAAATCAGAAACAATTGAGCTTTCAAAAGTTTAGTAATAAAGTGTCAGAGAAAACGTTTTCCATCAAACAGTTGATGTACAACCATGACATGGATGGGGAGCTCCATGTCAGCTATCAAAATTTGAAAGGAAAATCTCTGGACCTACTCTTGGAAGACATGGTGCAGAATATGAAACAAATGTTTGAAGCTCAACTATTAAAAGCCACAAACTGGAAAACAGAAAAATTACTAGAGTTCTGCAGCTCATTAGTATTTGACATCAACTTTACAACCATATATGGAAAATTTCTTGCTGACAACAGTAAAAAAGTTAGTGCGCTAAGAGAAAATTTTTTCAAGTTTGATGACAAGTTTGTGTACTTAGCGTCTGATATACCCATTGAGCTCCTAGGCAATGTCAAGTCCATACAACAGAAACTTATAAAATGTTTGGCATCAGAAAGCTTAGCTAAGATGCAAGGATGGTCAAAAATTGTTCAAGAGAGGCAAGAGATATTGGAGAAATACTACGTACGTGAGGACATTGAAATAGGAGGTAAGAAACTTGTGAATGATTAGTTGCCTAAAATAAAATAATTTACAATAGACCTTTGAAATAAAAAGATAAAATGGCGACCTTGAAAATTTTTATGCTCTTTCTAATTGGCTAGTGATAAAATGTTTTACTCTGAAACAACCCTCTGTGATAATTGATTTTTTTTTTTTTGCTGAGGTGGTAAAACAAGATACTTAATGGTGATAATGAGAAGGAGTATAACTAAGCTGCATTTAGTCTTCTTATCTCATCCTCCACCTCCCTGCCCCCCCAACACACATTACATTTTAAACTATTCTCATTAAGCAGAAAATTAGACTTCAGAAGCCTATTGGTTCTCATTAGCATGCACTGATCCTTGGCTGGGTCTGTGTCCTAACATCTTTTAATTAGCACACTGCAAATCTAATCAGTGTAATAAACGCTATTAATCTTCCTTTTCACTTATTTTCTCCCAGCACATCATTTAGGCTTTCTCTGGGCCTCTGTGGCGAACACCTTTCCAGCTATGTTCTGGGCCATGTATTATATTCTGCAGCACCCAGAAGCCATGACAGCCGTGCGTGACGAAATTGACCATTTTTGGCAGTCAACAGGTCAACAGCAAGGATCTGGATTTGGGGTTAACATCACCAAAGAACAATTGGACAGTCTGATCTACCTAGGTAATTTATTTTTATTGGTTATGCAGAAAAGAAGGTACCTCTCCGCAAACTCAGTTTATCACTCATTGCTGTTTACCAAGAGGTAGAGGACACAGCTGCCTAATTGACATAATAACACACATTTACATCAATTATAAATTATGTAGTTTATAGCTGTAGATACTTTCATTGCATGTAAACATCAAGGCCTGGGTAATTAACTATGCAAGTATGCAAAAGGCTAAACCAAAGCTTTGCAATAAAAAAAAAAGTTTATTCCTATTCAGTCATTTGATTCTGAGCATCTGTTGGTATGCTAATGCTTTCTAAATATCCAGGAGCTACTTTGATGAGAAAATTACTAAAGATTGGAAAAGAAAGTATTGCAGAAATGCAACTTCTATGCAAGATGCATTTATTCTTTTTGAAAATGGTGCAGCTAGGTTATTTTTTATAGTTTGGAGTGTATGATTCCCCAAAACATAGTATTAAGTGTTTCTCACTGGAAATTAATGATTTAAACACACTCCAGAAAAAGGGAAGAAATAGAAAGGAAGGAGGTAAAGAAAGACTAGAAGGAGAGAGGGAGGAATATAGAGGAGAAAATCAGGAAAAATAAATTACTTTTTGTGAAATGTCGGTAATTTCTAAAATATGTACCAGCTAACACTATGACTAAGTTTTGTTTCTACATAAGTCTCCACATTGTTACGTGAGATTTCCCAGCAGATCACCTTCCTCTGTGCTGGGTTTCCCCTACCGTTACCAGATAGACTTGTACTCCCCAAATTAAACACCATGCCTGTGTTTATTTGCTGCTTGTTCAGTACTGACACCTTGTCCTGTGGTTTCTTAACAATAGTTTAGAATACAGTAGTCCAAGTCTTTTGGCACAAATGCAAAGGTATATATGTGTCACTACTTGGACATTGTAGGCAAGTATTTTAACCTTATAAATATGTGCCAGGGTTTGGAAATAATGGCTCATCTAGCTTGCCCAGTCTTGGTCACACCCATTTGTGAAGAATGGCCCAAGTGTTCTACAAATTATTCCTTTTGATCACACTGACCCATTGGAGGTGACAGTGGGCATCATACCGGCACTCAGCAAAAATGGAACACCATGTAGTTTGCTGTTTTTAGGAAATATTATACAGGGAACTTTATGCTTTGGTGGAGAAACCTAACAATTTCAAGTTATTAAAATGCAGATTTTTTTTCTTTACCAACTTAATGGGAAGCAAGTATATAATTTTTGTGTAAAATCCTGAGTAGGTTCCTCCATTTGGATAAACAGTATTTTCTGGGCAGAATATTTACAAACACTTAGGTTACATTTCTCATATATTCAAACAATCCATTGTATATTATGAATAAAATGATTCATATTGGGGTGCATGCAAATATTGTTTCAAGTAATGTGTATATATACTCTATACATAATTATTACTACTAAATATTACATTCAAATTGATCAGTTCTCTTTTTCTTTTTGTAGAGATTCATTTTATTTATTTGAATGGCAGAGTGACACAGAGAGGAGAGAGACAGGTATAGACAACAGAGAAAAAGAGCCTTCATCTGCTGATCACTTCCCAAATGATTCAAAGAGCCAGAGTTGGGCCAGACCCAAGTCAAGAGCCTTGAACTCCATCCAGGTCTCCCATATGGGCAGCAGGAGCCCAAACACTGCTTTTCAAGGTGCATCAACAGGGAGCTGGATTGGAAGCAGTGCAGCTGGGACTAAAATTAGCAATCCAATATGGGATGCCAGCGTTGTTGTAGCTAGTAGCTTAATCATTGCACCAAAACACTGGCCACTATTCTCAATTCTCTATCATTGAAAGAAAAATTTTTAATACCATTTTTAAGTTTTTTGAATTGCTTAATCACAAAACAAGTTAGGTCCTTTAAGGCCCATATTTAGAGCAATAAAATTCCTAAGAATCTTCACATATTTACAGCTCCCAATCATCAATGATGAGTACAATACCAAAGTCCCAAGTGTCATATTTGCCTGGATAATGATAGAGCCTCAGCACCCAACAGGGCTTATTATCATCCCTGATGCCAGCAGAGGACAGTTTCATTACAACAAGGAAAAAACGATTGAGTCAGTTGTGACTTTCAGGAAAATAGCAGGACATTGTCTTTCATTAATAAACAGGTTTTCTGCAAATCTGAGTAAATATTTACTGATAATTTAAACAGCAATTAATCTACACTTAGTTATGGCACAGTTGTAAATCTCTTGTTATATCAAAAGAGCATTAGTTAGGCCCGGCGCGTGGCCTAGTGGCTTAAGTCCTCGCCTTGAACGCTCCGGGATCCCATATGGGTGCCAAGGGTCTAATCCCGGCAGCTCCACTTCCCATCCAGCTCCCTGCTTGTGGCCTGGGAAAGCAGTCGAGGATGGCCCAAAGCCTTGGGACCCTGCACCCATGTGGGATACCCGGAGAAGTTCCTGGCTCCTGGCTTCGGATCAGCATAGCATCGGCCATTGCAGTCACTTGGGGAGTGAATCATCAGAGGGAAGATTTTCCTCTCTGTCTCTCCTCCTCTCTGTATATCTGACTTTCCAATAAATAAATAAAATCTTTTTTAAAAAAAAGAGCATTAGTTGTATGTACAAAGGCAAGATTTATGTCTTCAGTATTTACAGTATATTGTGTGGTATGAGTGTCTGTTTTTACCATTCTCATATTCTTAACCACAGAGTTGTGTTATTTTTTTATACAATTTCTTTAGAAAAAAAGATCACAGTGATATTGATGCTACATTGCCTACTTGGACAGAGAATTTTGATATTAATACAACAAAGCAGATTCTTCTCATACATGCTCTACCTGTCAGTTCAACTGTTATTACTTCATTTAGCAATTACATAATAAGGTTCATAAAAATTGGCTAACACACCAACATCATAAAACTAGGTAAAGACACAACTAAAAATTGTTGTCATTTCTATCTAATTTCAAAGATAAAATCATAAATAATCAGTGTCACTGTGGTTAAAAAAAATCCTAGAAATCAATCAAAGACCTTAAACCACTATTTTCTAGTAAGATGTGTATGGTTGATTCTGTAGTTGGATAGAAAGATTAGGACAGAGTTGGAGGTTCATATTAGAACATGGAGGTTATTTTTAAAAACAAAAATCAACCTTTGGTTTTAGACTAAATTTAGATTTACAGAAAAGCTAACAAAGATAGTAGAGAGAATCCTCATGCATCGGTAGTTGCATCTTGTATTAGTGTAGTCTGTCATAATTATTCCTGTTATGTGAGAAAATTGTTTCAACATGACAAAATAAGTAAGAAAAATTCGAAGTTCATAAAACTCAGACAATAATAGTGAAGTTTAACAATATTCTTTCTTTACCAGATAAAGTGGGTATACATTTTTTTTGGAAATATTTATTTCAAAGGCAGCATTACAGAGAAAAATGAAGAAATGGAGTGAGAGATTTTCAATTTGCTGGTTTGCTCCACAAAAGCTTCAGTACCTAGAGCTGGGCCAGACCAACATTAGGGGTATGAAGCAGCAAGCAGGTCTCCTAAAGTGGGTGCAGGAGCCCAAGCACTTGAACCATCCTCTGCTATATTCTCAAGGGAGTTGAATTGAAGATGAGGCAGCCAAGACTCAGACCAGTGCCCACATAGGATGTGACCTCACAGGCACAGCACCGGCTAAGATTATAAGTACAAGTTCACATGAGGAACCTCGTACTGCAAGCATCTTACACAAAAGTGCATCTGAAAGTCAAGGATATATAGGCAGTAAGATTTTTTTATGTAATATGAAGCAACATCAGTGAAAATACTGATTTGGATATTCATCAAATTCTCAGCTTAGCACAGAGCTAAGTGAGTTAGATAAGAAATAATGGAAATAAACTAAAAGGATTGAAAGAGAGCTTTCTTGAGAATTCAAATTATTATAGTTAGGTATAAAACTCAACTAAGAATAGGATAAGAATATGTGCAGCTTAGCAAAAAATAGTTTAAAATAGTTATTCCTAGCCTTGATGGCTCATTGGAAACAACTTGGAGGGAGCAGGAGAGGTTAATGCTCATGTCTGATGCTGTCTCCGAAATTTCTGATCTCATTGACTTGTCAGGAAAGTCTGATGGCTTTAAAAGCTCCCCAAGGGTTAATTGTTTGGCCAAATGGATAAAACTCTACCTCTCAACTTTAAACACATGGGTTTGATTCCCAGCTCCAGGTCCTACTATTGCAGACTATGGGAGGCAGCAGGGATGGATCAAATAGCTAGGTTCCTGCTATAGGTAGGAGATCTTGATTGGATTCCTGACTCCCGGCTTTCAACCTCAGCATGACCAAAGCGATGAATTTGGACTCTTTCTGTCTCAGCTTCTCAAATGAAAAAGAAAAAAAGAATCACAATGAAACTATTTTTTTATTCCCCCATGAAGTCAAGATTCAAGGTCTCTATTTTAAAGTAGCTTTGATTCTGTTTCTCTAGGATGGAGTATTTGCTTGTTTGTGTATCAGTCCTGTGTGATGTTAACAGGCAGTCATGGCTGCTGCTAACTTCTGGGATATCAGAAAGTTCTAAACAAGTCAGTGGAAATATTATTTCAAAAATATGCTGCTCATCTGTTCCTATGAAACATTAATAGATATGTGGTATCTAGGACACTGAACATGATAGCTTGTGTCTGTTGTTCTGACTGAAATAGTACACCTAGTTCTGCAAGGCTTAAAAGGCACATTGAGTTCATTAAACATAGCAAAAGACTTAGCACCAAGTCATCTTTGGCACATAGAAAAGAATATGAGAGGTGACGTCACATGGTCTGAAAGGGCCATAATGTGGAAGAGGAATTAAGACTTTTTTGTTGTCTGTGTGTTCCACAGCTCAATATGAAAAACCGATTTCTATCAAATTGTACTTTTAGCTTTTCAATCAGAAATTCTGTAATATTGAATTGCTGAGACTAGATTTTTTAACTGTTGTCACCACAAATAAGTATGTGAATTAATGTTCAAGATGTTAATTAGGTTGAGGCATTCCACAAGGTATACATCAAATTATATTGCCGCAAACCATAAGTACACATGATTTTTATTTGTCAGCTAAAAAAGATTAATTAGTGGTGAGCATTTAGCATGTTGATTAAGATGCTAATTGGTATACTAGCATCCCTTGTTGGAGCCCCTGGGTCCAAACCACAACTCTGCTCCTTATTATACCTTAGGAAGCAACAGGTGATAGCTCGTGTGCTTGGGTCCCTGCCACCTCTCAAGGAGACCCACAGTGAGTTCCGGGCTCCTGGTTTTGGCCCAACACCCACCATTGCATGCATTTAGAAGCAACCCAGAAGATAAAAGTCTCTCTTTCTGTCCCTTTCAAAGTTAGTAAACACTACATAAAATAAATTTTTGAAAAGTGAAAATGAGAAATTAAAATATTAATTTAAAAATGTTTCAGCAAAATCTGAAGTAATGCCTTAGAAACGTCATGCTGCCAAATATCTTCTAATCTTGAACTACCTAAAGTACAGTGTCTGTGATCCATGAGCTATGTTCCTTTCCCAATAGCAACAGTGGTCAAGCGGTCTAAACAGGATAAGATATTAACAAACATGTATTGACTATATGAATATTGAACTTACATTTGCATGTTTTAACGGAAGACCAGATTGTGTCTACAGTGCAGAATGGTAGGCATTTGTATCAATACAGATTTACTTTTAATTTTACTTTGAAAACATGATCATTGAGCCAAGGATTTGTGATTTCTCACCTATGTTAAAGGCAGTGCAGACACGCACATTCACATACACGGGCCTGCTTTGAGTATCATGTAATCACAGCTTCTAAAGCCTCCGTGCCCATCTGCTCATCCCCTTCTCAGTCACCTTCTCTTTAAGAATGCCCAAGTGTTCAGCCCCAGTGATTGTGGCAGGGCCTGGCTGTTCTTTTCACTCCAGCCATCACAGCTATCCACTTATCTTACCCAAGCTAATCAGATGGCATGCCAGGCTGCGCTGATCATTAAGATGACCCAAATTAACAGCCTGGCTATGTCACAGTACATTCATTCCACACATTCAGAAATGGCCGAAGTGTGAGGCAGAAGCCTGGAAGTATTTGTTTGTGTTTGTATTGCAATATGCATTATTGGTGGTCATGAGCTGTTTTAGGCCTTTAAATCTGCAAATGAGTATCATCTGTCAATTACTACAGACAGGCTTGAGATGGGAGAGCAAACAGGAAGGTATCTGTGCCTTTTGCTATCAGCACGTTCTTTCATTTCATTTGCCATTTTCCTTCATTGTTACAGTGTAATGCATCCTAGCTCAGATATTTTGATAGAAAAACATTGCTCAGATTTTTTTTAGTAGAAAATTCAATCCAAACAGCTCTTCTATCCTGAAAATAGAAACATCTTTCCTACCCACGTCAAGAAGGTAGCACATACGTGAATTCAGTGTGGGAATTTTGTGCTACAATTTCTTAGTATAGACTGGTCAGTGAAGCTCAATGCTTAATAAAGCACAAGTAACCTCATCTTAAGCAGAATTATGATTGTCCACATCTTGCCGCATCTGGTACCAATTTTATCCCCAAAATATTTGCATTCTTAACAGCCATTTTGCCATATTGCATTCAAATAATTAGAGGGCCCTATTACCTGCTAAATGTTCGTATAAATTAACAATCCATTATGCACAATAAGTTTTATAAAACATTTACAGATAGAGATCATGTTTAATTAAAATTAACTTCCATAAGACAGCCAAGTGCACTCATGGTTCAGAGTGACCTTTGATTACCTGTAGTTCTTGTTTTGGCTGCATGATTGACAGCTTGCTGTTTGGCTACCATGTTGAATTTTAGCTGACAAGACTTTGCATTTTAACTCGATTTGCCCGCCTATCACAAGCTGGTGGCAGGCCAGACCCAAGTCACCCAGCTTTGCCTCAGCAGCTTGCTCTAGTTCTCATTAGTACGCATTTATTCAGTGGAAATTGGAAGACAAATGCTTGAAGGCATGTGAACTAAGTATAGCAAATTAGGTTTAAAGACTGAATATTTATAAGTATATGGAAAGTTTTTTTTTTTTAAATTCTAGAGTGAATTGAGAACTGAGTGCTAGCTTTGGTATAAAAGAAATGAAGATTAAAAAGGGAAAGATTCTAAGAATAACAATACTATAAGCTTTTTCTTTCCATTTTGGAGTTTTGTAAAATCTCTCTGACAACACCTTATCGAATAAAAACCTGGCTTCTCTTTCATGGAGTGCTTGCACAATGAAATTTAGCACCTTGTGTGTGAGAAGGGGAAGAAAATGAGGGTCATGTTCATTTGTTGCTTGGTTATCCCTTGGTATGTTTTAAATTGCCTTGTTTGTTCGGCACTAGCACAGAAACAGATGTTGCTCCACGGCGCAGGGTAATTTACTGCACCTCCTGGTGCAGCATGGAAGTCCTCCCAGGGCCCAGCTGGTCTGTCAGTGGCACTGGCTGGTGTCTGCTCAACTATGACAACTACAAGTAGAGGCTGCAGTTTTTTGATTGTGCAGTTGTCATTCTCCTCAGCATATAACTGTGCCTGCTCTTGTGGGACTGGTGGAAAAGCCGCTGGCTTTTGTGTCTGTGTGTTGTATTGCAGATTCACATAAGCTCAACTCTCCATTGTTGATAATAATGCATTACTTTTGTCATCTAATAATTATCAGCATGGTTGCTCAGAGCAAAAGCCAACCTTGTGTTGCACACATAACTGGTACTGGAAGGTAAAACAGATTTGTCACTTACGATCTGACTGCTGAGCCACACTTTGTGCTCCATTATTGTGATTAACTTCTGCCTAAGATATGCTTGCCCAATTGTCATTTATGATATTGGGGTGGGCACAAGCTGCTGTGCTCTCCAGGAGCACATCAGCCAATCGAATTTGACCATGTTATTCAGACTGAGATGCCTGTCCTGTCACAGCAGCCACCCCACCATCATTTCTGCTTTTGAATTTCTTCTCCCCACATCCCTACTGGATTTGTTGGGTGAACAGCACTGCTACATATGTCAGCTACCATTTCACACCACGAGCTAAAAGGATGCTACGCTATTGTTGATCCAGCTGAGCCAGGAGCAGTACAGGGAAAGCTGACCCTTGCTTTGCACCATAGAAATGTTGGTTGTTGGTTTCCTGCCAGCTGAAATCCATCGTGTCAGGTGCCTTGTGGCTATCTGCAGTAGAAGCCATATTCCAAAACCAAAGTTCTTTTCTGGCCTCATCATCAACAAACCGATTTGACTCTGCCTGATTATAATAACGAAGGCAGTCCAAGAGAATATGCACAGGCTCACTGTACGTCACATTGAATCACCACACTGGCCACACCGAGTTGACCGCAGCCTCATTTCTTTAGACAAATGCATGCTTAAGGAAAAAACTCGTGGGAGAAGGCACCAAAGCCACTAGATATCACTTTGCAAGCTGTATACAGATTTAAGTTTTACTGAAATAATGACTATTTTTACTTTTTGGCTGATGCAATTCCTCACTGATGGACTTACCTTTAATAATCTTATAATATGCGTACACTGTGATTCAGAGCTTTGCTGAACACTAAGACACTAGACTGTGTAAGTGAGAGAGAGGGGGCAGAGAGAGAAAAGAGAAAGATAGAGAAGGAAAGAGAGAGGTTTCTAAATTACCAGTCATAAACACAAACATTTATTATCTTGGGAAGGAGAAAAACTCCATTGCAGCTCTTTTTCATACTGCTGATTAGAACAAATCAGGCTTCCTATTATAGGGCCCATTCACGCTGGTGGAAAGAGTCAGTGTTGATTATGAAGGGAGAGATGCCGGCCTAGACAGCAGCTACATGCTGATATGCATTCTATCAGAATGATTTATGCAGATTATGCATATTATTCCCAAAGGAATTCCTCCTCAAACTGCCAGGATAAATTGCCGGAAATTAGCCATAAAATCTGTCGTGCTAGGAGCAAAAGGTGAAGGCCACTGGGAAAGCAAGGACATTCCGTTTCTGGAATCTTCCATGATGTGATAGTAGCTGCTGTTCTCTCTGGATGCAAGGGGAAAATATGGATCTCTTCTGATTCCTATAGAAATATTTTTCACTCTGACTTTTTTTCTAGTGAATGTTGATTCACATCTTATTTGCAGGTAACGTAAAACAAATTGTTATCTCAGAAAAAACTACCACAATTACTTTACTATTAACTGCCTAAGTGTTTATTAAATGGATAAACCTTGATTTAAAGGCATTATTTTTCTAAAAGTTGGTGAACTCAGCCTTCAGCAGTGTACTTTACCTGAGATATGTTTCTATGTTCCTTACCACAGCATCCCTCTCCCGCACACCATTCTTTCATGCAAAATTCTGAGTCAGTGACCTTCTGCCTGAGTACCACATTGCTGCCTTGTGCAGTGAAGTGCCTGGAACTGGGAGGGGGGCAAAAGCCTCTCCCTTCTTCTCTCCCCATCCACAGCCATCCTTGGCTTCGCCAGGGTGCTCAGTGAATGTGGTGAAGAAATGCTTTCCATATCAATGAGAGCTGTTAATCATGAGCTTTAATGGTAAATTGAGAACACTTTACAGGAGCAGGTGTATTTCAGAATGGTATTGTTTGCTTCCTTTAGACAGCTTCATTCATGAAGCTTTACGACTATCCTCATTTTCGGGCACCTTGCGTTTTGTTGAAGAGGACATGACTCTCAGTACAGAAATTGGGGAGTATTGTCTGCGAAAGGGAGACTTTGTCACCATATTGCCTGCAATCACACATTCGGATCCTGAAATCTTTGAAGCTCCAAAGGTAAATAAGCATTACTCCAATCATTGCTACTTCTTACTTATTTCAAGTATGCCTGTCTCCCTCATGAACTCTGCCTCTCCAGGAGGTATTTGAGATAAGTTAATGGTAACTTTTTTTTTCTTTCTAATAGGAAAAATTTCCCCTTGAATAAAGTGTTTCCTAGGAATTTATCTTTGAAAAGTTGTGTAATCCATGAATAGAAATGCAGTGATGAGACTGTTTGCTAGTAGTCACTTCAAATCAAATGGACATTGTACTTCGGCCACCTTTAACCATTAGTCCAAAATTAGGTTTTGCCTAGAGGGTTGTTGCAAACTGTGGAGGGCTAGCTATTGGGAGCCACCTTAGAAAGTAAATAATGACAACTATTTTGCTGAATGTTTACAAATGGAAACTCTTAATGGGGGGTTGACTGTCCTGGAGCCAAATACCATCATTGTGTAGCTAAATCCTTATACCTTTTCAATAAAGGTATGTACCCCTTCTTGATCAATTAGTGTGGCATTATGAACATGAAATTGTAAAGCTGCCGCTAACGGGTGATGCTCCGAGGGTAATTGTGTCAGCTCCTTGTGTTTTTTTCTGAGGCTGGAGTTAATGAATATCAAAGACTGGAAATTAATCCACCCTGGTTCATCCCTTAATACCACTTCAGAGATTCACCACCTGCATGCAAATTAAATGCAGTCATATTCTGCCTGTGCTTCTCATGAAGTGATGTTGCTGCAGCTATTTTTTTTCACATATAAAATGCCCTTTTTCAAAGGGAGTCTTCTGTGATCCTTTGAGCAGTTCATAGCTGAACCCCTTTAACTCTGATTTCTAAGTTAGAAGCTTGATGCCTAGTTTGAATAACAACATTGTTAGAATGTGGAAATTGGCAAGAAGAGAATAAACTTCCAAGACAAGGCAGTAATGTGCAAAGGCAAATCTTCATGTGTTGTGTGCTTTATGTACATTGGTGATTGCAGTAAGGCTACAGTGCTGATAAAGAAGTGATCACTCTGCAGCCAATGAATATCTTTTATTGCTACTTCTGTAAATATCAAAACAAAAATTTCACATTCAAGTTGATAAGAAATAGAAGAAATGAGCTGCTAATATTTGAAAAATACTGGTAAGTTTTAGAATGGCCTCATTGCTATCTTTAATTTTTTTATTTATTGCACTTTTCCTTACTATTTTCGTGGTGTGATTATTCACTTGTCTATAGTATGAGTACTGATTTTGCATCATTAGAGTAGTTCTAACTTGACTTGATGAATATTCTCCATCATATGCCAGATTTAACAGTAGCCCATTATGCCTGACTAGTGTTCAAATAAATTAGCTAATTTTTGTCATAATGTTGTCATCTTCAAATTAGTATTGGAATGTTGGGAATTCCTTGCACAAGAAAAAATGTTATATATTTCCACATGATATTTAGATGACTTGACCAGGTTGTATTCAGTTTTGCAAATGATACGTAGCACCCACCACTGTCAGTAATATAAATTGACTCTTTTTATTCTTAACTAAGGACAGGAGCCTTATAAATGCTCATGTGACAGAAATTCATCCCATACCATCATGTGCTAACAGTTAAAAAGAGGAAAATTCTGTCCTTGGTCATTTGTCATTGAGGATGCTGGCCAAGGTACTCACTAGAGATTCATATTCAATACTAGCTGCCTTTTCTATGCTTCAGATTTTGAGTGGGAAGAACTTAGAGATAGAAAACAGATAATGGCTGGTAAGTCAAAAGTATGAGGAAGATTAACTCTGAATATAGGTGTAACTGTTCTTGGATGATGCCCAAAGAGCATAATATTGTTCCAAGTGAGCTAGGCATAGTTCAGAATTTCCAAACTCCAGAGGATTCTAGAATGTATGATTAAGAGATGGCTATGATATTGCCTCATGCTTTAGGTCTTTTGTACATTCATATCACTATTTCCGCAAGTCCCTGTTTACTTCTCCACCCAGCAGATTTAAAATTGCTCCATGCACATTACCTCTTTTTTGATGATGTCTAGGTGCCTCTATATTCTGCACAAAGTTTGTCGTCATGTGCTCTGTGACGATAGAACCCACAATTCTGCAATTACTTGTCTATTTGGACGCTTACATACTGTAAGCTCCGGAGGGGGAAAGAACATATCTTCCTCATCTTGGTTGTCTGTCCAACTTAAGTAAATGAGAGGATACTTGCATGAAAGTGAATGCATTAAAAATGAAAATATGCATCAGTTAAAATTAGGACATAAATTGGATACTCAAATAGGTAGGGGCCTAAATGAATCAAATAAAGAAGTGTCTTGTGTATAAAAAGAAACATTTTTGAATTTGGTAAAAACTGTGACAGCATCTCTGAGTTCCTACTGTTGCTCTGGGAAGGATGGCACAAGGTGGCCCAGGTACATGGGCCCTTGTTCCCCGTGTGGGAGACCCAAATGAAGCTCCTGGTTCCTGGATTCAATGTGGTCAGGCCCAGCTGTTACAGTCATTTTGGGAATGAACCAGCAGATGGAATGTGTTTGTGTGTGTGTGTGTGTGTGTGTGTGTGTGTGTCTTTAACTCTGCCTTTCAAGTAAATAAAAAAAATATTTTAAGACATACTAGTAAAGGAAAAGAGCACCGCCAGAATCTTCCAACAAACCATTATCCGTTTCAAGTAGTTTGGGCCATTTTTTTTTTAAAGAATTTAAGACATTAGATTTTCAGTGCAACTTTGAATTCTTAAATATTTTGGAAAATAAAGTTTAAAATAGTATTAGATAAACAAAAGGTTTTGAGACCTAATTGGCCTACAAGCCTCTGTTAAGAATTATCCTTTCCTTGAATTTTGATTGCTTAGCTTGTTGTAATAGTGGCTTTTGCCTGTGTGGAGAAAAAAAATTGGCAAGTGAAATTGAATACAATAAAAGAGAGCAGAATAAGCATCCCTTCTTGACTCTTTTTGTCTTTACAATTGTTCCTATTATGCACAAAAGACCAGATAATGTATTATACGAACTAGAACTGGATAAACTTTAAAAAAAATTTTTTTTCTGAAGACTTTCCAAAATTTTTATGTTATCAGACAGAATTCAAGCAGCCAACTCAAGTCATCAGTAGTAAGTGATCACCATTTCTCTTCTGCCAACATACAGAATTAGAGCTCTGGAGAAGATCAAATCTGCAGCTTGCTTTTTCGAAAATCAGAGATGCTAAGGAATTAAAGGAAGTGTGGTGACACTGCTAAAATTTAGGGGGAAATAGCAAATATTCAAGATGGCTATACATTATCACAAAAATGTAGCCTCAGAAAGAAACAGTGAAATCACAGGGAAAATCTAAAGCCTTTGTGTATTCCCCAAATCTCTGAAACTGAAAGATCTTGTTGAATCTCAATTCTGTCATTTTCCACATCTCTGAGTTGTAGAATAATAAGAAAGATGAGAGAATTTGAAAGCCCTTGGGAAAAAGAAATCCTAGATCACTATACAAATTGTAATACCAATGTTTTTGTTATGTCATTGGCCTTGCAAGATACTGGTAATGACAGATGAGGAAATGCTCTTAATCATTTTTGTCTGTCTTTCAAACAGCAATAGACTTCCAGCAGACTTCAATGGAACGAGTCTATAATGAACATTTACTACCCAGAAAGCTCTTTGGTAGGCATTACAGGTCACAGAATTTTTAAAAGGCCCCTGCTGTTAACAGCTTACTTGCTCTTCATAGCCAGATGCTTCATGGTGAGAGATTTTTGTGCCATGCCAGTAAATTGGCCCTTCGTAGCTGCCATATTGAAACGAGTGGTGTAGGGAAAGGCCTAGGATCGTGCTGCTTGTCCATTTTCATGGAATTAAATATACTCACCTTTTACTGAGTATGTGCTGCCAGAGTCAAAACAGATGTATACCTCCTCACAAGCAGGTGCAAGCTGTCTGCATCTCACAGCGGATGTGAACCCAAGACACAGTGTTTCCACTACAAGCATGGTAATCCAGGGCTGACAGTGCAGCTCCATAGCAATTCATTCAAATTGTTGTGAATTTGGTTCATTACAGAGGAATTATGACTTCAGTCTAAATTAAACTTCAATACCCCAAATTATAAATTGCATAAGTGCAATACTCAATGGTCGTGTCATGTGATATCCACCTCAGCAAGAAACTGTTTCATGTCTTTGTAACTTCAAAACTTCACAGATAGGAAAGTGCCAAAAAAAATCTGTTGACCTGAACTAAACATAATATTTAGAAAACATAAATTAGGATATTATACAATCTTCCTCTATTGTGTATACCCCAAACTCTTCACTGTCCAGAAAGTTGTATAAACTATCCAGCTTTGAATATAATTGTTTCAGTACTATACCATTTTCTACATTGTTAGCACTGAACATTTATATATTCTTCATTATTTACTGAATGCCTATTTATTCAATGTCTATGTTTTCTCCAAAAGCTTGAAAATTTCTTTTAAAATAAAGTTTACTCTCATGTGCTTATTTGCTAAGTCAACAAACACATATGGAACCTCTGTTATGGAAATGTCATAGTATTGGAGGTTTGGAAAATGCAAAGATAAATAAAATATTGTGGCAGCTGCACTCTGCTGGGAAGTTTTGGCTTTGCCATCTCCCATGGGTTAGCTCTATCCTTAGCCTAGTTGCAGGATAGTGTGGAAGTTCCAGACGTGTTCACACATGACAGGATCCAGGGAAGGATGGACAATGAACCATTTGTTGTTGATTTTCTTTCTTCACAAGAATTCTTCTCCAAGTTACGCCCCACAGACCTTTTCCTTACAGGATAGATCAGGCCGGTTCATACATCCCTGAAACCACGTCTTATTTAGGTCACAGCCATGTGTTCCCAGTGTTGTTATTTAGATAAAGCTTACAAGAAGAACCATATTGGGGCATTAATATGAGACCCTTCAGAAAAGCAATGGAGATTTTATTGTCTCTCATTATCTCTTGGAATCACTTTATTTCCATAAGTTTAGTTGTCCTTTAATTGCAAGTTGCTGAGTTTATAATGGTTACTAAAAATAACTTAATCAGAGGGTTGAATTCAAGGATTCTATTGTTCCAAATAAGTGGACACATTGTAAGCTTCCTGAACATCTTCCTGAACATTGACCCCAAAATCTCAGAGCTGAGACTGTTAGACCCCATCCAAACTATATCCATAGCAAATGCCATAAGCTTGTCTTAGCATCAGTTCTTGCTGAAAGTCTCCATGAAACTAACTGAAAATTAATCCTAACTCAAAAGTAGAGTTATGTGCCCTTTGAACTTGATGGTGGTACCAGAACATAAGCTACTGGCCATTTTTATTTAATTTTCTAAAAGAAGCCACAAAATAGATTTCTAAAATGCTTATTATGAGGAAGATCTATAAATGGCAACTAAAAACACAAGGAGCGTCATCACTGTTTCATTACAAGGAACTGGAGGAATTCGCTGTAAATACTCACTGTAGGTCACAAATGAAACACCGTTCCATGTACGGCTAGTGTTGCACTCTGGACTCTCACAAGAAACCCAAGAAACCACATTCATTTTCTCAAAGCACATGAGGGTTATGATGATTTCTTGATTATTCATGCTGCCAGAACAGTATGACATCTTTACTGAAACTTAGTTTTCCTTTTGTATTTTCTGGCATAAATCATGGGGCAACACTGAGACCTTTAGTAGCAAATCATTTCATAGCAGCCAGAGCTCACTTAAACTGATCTGGCATTCAGAGGCAGCTCATGGTGACCTTACTGGTCCCTTCAGATTGTTCGGCAAGTATGAAACATCAGGGCTCATCTAAGGCAAGCGACCTAGGTCCCAGTGACAGAAGAAGCTTACCAGTGAAGAGATTCACATAGTAAATCTACCTCCAGCAACAGAGTCTGTCAACTAGGGGTGTCTTCTTTCATTCCTACAACTGGAACAGTAGTAAAATACACCCGTCAGCAATTAAACACTTCAAAAATGCAGGTTCATTTTGTCATAATTATTGTATCATCTTTCATGTTGGAAGAGAATATGAAATACTCAAATTTCTTGATAGCTTAATTCTTGTAAAAATATGTGTTAAGGGCCCAGCGCAATAGCATAATAGTTAAGGTCCTCGCCTTGCATGCGCCGGATCCCATATGGGCGCCTGTTCTAATCCCGGCAGCCCTGCTTCCTATCCAGCTCCCTGCTTGTGGTCTGGGAAAGCAGTGGAGGACGGCCCAAAGCTTTGGGACCCTGCAGCCACATGGGAGAGCCAGAAGAAGCTCCTGGCTCCTGGCTTCGGATTGGCTCAACTCCAGCCGTTGTGGCCGCTTGGGGAGTGAATCATCTGATGGAAGATCTTCCTCTCTGTCCATCTGACTTTCCGATAAAAATAAATAAATCTTTAAAAAATATATATGTGTTAAGTGTTACATAAGTATTACTAGGTGAGGATAAGCACAGTACATTTAAATGACATCATTCATTGATATCCTGACATCGACAATACTGGCAAGTCTCGAAAAAATTGGATAGCTTGTGAGGATTCTATCTGCATGTTGGGTTTTGAGCATAAATTGAAATAATCTGGATTTATTTCTTAAAGTTCAACTTCATGTATCCCACATTAAAATTGTGTGCTGAGCAGTTTTAATGCTACTGAGCACCAAGTTCAGGAAACAGGTGGTCATTTCTATGCAAACCAAAAGCATTAATCTAATCAACAGTTTTATTCTTCATGGACTGAAATAAACTCATTCATTCCCCTCTAAGAAATTCGACTGAGAGTTGGAACAGTAGCACCTTAGCAACAAGACAAAATTAAGAAGATAAGCACTGGCACTGTGATATAATAGGCTGAGCCTTCACCTGCAATGCCAGTATTCCAGTGCCACTTCCAGGCCTGGTTGCTCCAGATCCCACCCAGCCCCCTGCCAATGACCTTGGAAAGCAGTGGATGATGGCCCAACTCCTTGTACCCCTGCACCCATGTGGGAAACCTGGAAAAAGCTCCTGGCTTCTGACTTCAGACTGACCAGGCTCCTGCCATTGCTACCATTTGGGGAGTGGAACAAGGAATAAAAGATCTCTCTCTGCCTCTCCTTTGCTCCCTCTGTAACTCGTCCCTTCAAATAAATATAAGCATATTTTTTTAAATATATCAGAAGCACCACCCACAATCCATAAAGAAAATCCATAGGATAATTTCATCGGAGAAATTAGCTGCAATGTCAAAAATAAACAATATTGATATCATAGCTCACTTCCTCTCTAACCTCAGTCTCATATTTTGTCTGGTTAACCCCTGTATAAGGATTGAATCCCAAACTGATAGTTCTCACCCACTGGGCTCTGGAAGAAACAAGACAATCAAATTAGAACTTGTAGTTAGGCAGCTGTTAGGATTAATAAGATTCATTATTTTATGCTAACCATGGTAACACAGTAGAAGCCATTTTTTTTTACCCAATTTTGATATGTCCAGTCCCTATATATCAAGACACATCTTCTATTGCAAAAATGAGGACACAACCTCCACCCTTAGGAAGCTCAACATAGGTGTTATTGTTTGAATATTGTTTGTTCTCTCCAAGATTGTTCCTGTCAAGTTTGACTGTCATTGTAGTAGTGCCAGAAAAGGGGCCTTCAAGAGATAATTGGATCATTCAGAGGGAATAATGTTTTTCCTACATGAGTTCCAGCTCTCATGGCATAGGTACTTGCTCTGAGAGTGAGTGGCCACTTCTTGTGTTTTGCCTCTTCCATATGTGCTATTTGCCCTCTGCTTACCACCATGAGTTGAAGCAGCACTGGGCCCTCAGTGATGACCTGAAGTTGGATTTCCTAAATCCCAAAATTAGGAGCCAAAGTAAATCTTTCTTCGTTATGAACTATTCTCTCAACTTTTCAGATATAGCACTAGAAAATAGATTAAAAGAAGAAAGAAAAATGTGAGGTAACCAGCAACATTTTCCCAGATTTCATGAACTTCCCTTTTCAACAGCAACCCTTTCAGGCTACAGCAAAAAGACTCCAATATTTGCAACAAAATAAATTCATCTTCTATGCACTGTTTGAAGTTCTCTCATAAGAATAGGGAAGACAAGTCATTGGGGGTGTTTGAATTTTCTTTTGACAGCAAACAAGTAATATTTTCTTGAAAGTTCATGCATGGTTTACACTTAGTCAAAATTAACATTCTGGTGTTTGAGGAATCAAAGGCAGTTTTTCCAACAGACAGGGAGACCTGGCAAATTTGTATACTAAACTCAAACTATTTCATGTAAAATTTTAATTTGTTTAATTTTAATCTGTTCTTTACAGGAGTTTAAATTTGACCGTTTCGTCGAAGATGGTAAGAAGAAAAAGACCTTTTTCAAAAGAGGGAGAAAACTGAAGCATTACCTAATGCCATTTGGATTTGGAGTCAGCATGTGTCCGGGAAGATTTCTTGCAGTTGCTGAACTAAAACACTTGATGTTTTACCTCTTAACTCACTTAGATTTAGAAATAGTTGATGATAAGCCTGTAGGAATAGATCATAGCCGTATGATGTTTGGAATTCAGCATCCCGATTCAGATGTCTTATTTAGGTACAAGACAAGATATTAGAGACACTGAGAGGGAAGAAGAGAAGTCTGTGAAAATTAAGATGATCTAATCACATCTATTTGCTTTTAACTTCCATGTTTATTTGTTCAAAACATGGCAATTTCTATTTGATCTGAGATCAGCTCAGTTTGTTCTTTGTTACAAACCTATCATAACATAAAAGACAGTAGTGGCATGAAAAGTAGATGGTAAAATGAATTTAATGATAAGCTCAAAATAGTTTTTCCTTGGGTTCTACTTATTGTGATTTTAGTTATTTTAGTAACTGTTCCTTAACAGCAATAGATTTGGCATTGTGTGATTTTTTTTAAAGTCACTCAAAATTCCTCTCCAATTTCCATAAACACATTGTGGATACCATTGGAAAATTTTCTGAAAAATTATCCAATGGCTCTGATGCCATTAAGATGCCCTCATCCCATTGTCAGCGTTCCTAGGTTTGACACTTTTGTCAGGCTTCTGTCTCCAGCTTTGTGTTGGTACAGACCCCAGGAGGTATGAAGGATTGATAGAACAACTCCTGCTCCAGCCACATATGTAGGAGACCTGGATCGAATTCTTGGCTGCTAGCTCCAAATTAGCTAGCCTTAGATGTTGCAGGAATTTAAAGCAATAAACCAGCAGACAGATGTTTTCCCTCTCTCTGTCTCTCTCACTCTCTCTGTGTTACTTTGTCAGATAAACAAACAATTATTTTTTCAAAACAGAAAATTGTACTAGTCTGGCAAATTCTAAATTCTGAAAGATAAAGGAAATTAAATTTCCATGAGCTACACTAGCTGACAATGTTCCCTTCGAGTATAATATCAATAATATCTATATATTGCCGGGGAAGATTTGCATTAAATGAGTTTTGCAGAATATTAAATGCTTCAACTTCGCATCAGTATTTAATCATCCATAAATGTTCTTTATTACTTCATATAGTAAAGTTCAATAGGATAAAATTTCTTGTTTTATAACTCCTGTTCAGGTTAGATACTGATACATTTCATGTATAAGAAAACACAAAACCTATTACATATTCAGAAATTGCCCTAGACATCAGCATTGGGTTTATTATAGAAGCAAATGTTGAAATCATTGTAGCATTGATTGTAGCATTTGGCTTCAGTGTAAACTATAAGGGTGGTACTGATAATAGTGCAATGAGCTCTTTACTAAATGGTGCCATTTATATAATGGAGAAACTAGATCACAATATTTGTTCTTGACACCTTGCCTTTCGGACTTGGAGTTCATTTGTATTACTCTGAATTACAACATTGTGTAACATGGTATAATTGCATCTGACACAATGCAGCATGGCTTCAGTGTTCCAAACGTTTCCAGCATTAGTTTGTGAAGTGATTGCCATTTGACACAAATGACGGTGCAGCATGTAAAGAGGCAGGGCAGGTGATAAGACTCAATTAATTCAGGTCATGTTAATTGGAATGTCTAATATTTCAGAAAATTGTTATTGTTTTTGAAAAAGAAAATTAATTTTTAAATAAAATATTTGTTCTGGTTAACAAATAAATAAGATGTTCTAGCATTTATTTTCTCCTTCTTGAAAAAAAAATGCTCTAACTGTCCCTTTAGTAAAGATCTACTAGGACAAATTCTGTGTTTTATTTGATTGATGTATTTGTTTTTATCCCTATTCTTCTTTACTCTTTTTTTTTTCTTATATGGGGTACAAGGAGATGTTGTTTGAAATATAATGTGGAATTTCTAAATCAAGCTAGACAAGATGTCCTTCATCCCAAATACTTAGTCTTTTCTATGATGAAAACATTAAAATTTGCACTTAGAAATCTTGACATTTATAATATTCTTTCTTATTGCTATATTTACCATACCATGAATTTGAGATTTTATACACTTGGATTATCATTTCTCCATTGTTCCCACTTCCTAGCCTCTGTAATCACCATTATTTTCTCTGCTTTATGAGTCTGTTTAGGTTTTACATGTTAGTGAGAGTGTGTGATACATTTGTTGCTGTGCCGGGCTTATTTTACCATAGCATCATGATTTTAATTTCAATCTGCATCGCTGCAATAAAAAGATTACTTGTTTCAGGCTGAACAGCCTTCCATTGTTCACACACTCCGTTTCCTTTACCCACTCGCCCGTTGATGTCGGCAGATACGGAAGCTTTGTGTTGATTCTGTAACTTGGCTACTCTGAAGAGTGCTGCGTGTTAATACACACAGTGCAATCACCTCTTCAACAAAATTGATTGTAAATATTTTAAGTAAAATGTTCAGAAGCAAGATGCCTGGATGCATTCATCTTTGAAAAATCTTTTTCAAGATGCTCAACTTTAGGTTGAGAGTCAGTTCCTCATAGCACTGATGTTATTCTGTGTTCGAAAGTTTCCCGTCCTTGGGCCCGTAGCGATGGTGCAGTGGTTAAGGTCCTCACCTTGCACGCCCGGGATCCCATATGGGCCCCTGTTCTAATCCTGGCAGCCCCGCTTCCCTTCCAGCTCCCTGCCTGTGGCCCGGGAAAGCAGTGGAGGACGGCCCAAAGCTTTGGGACCCTGCACCTGCGTGGGAGACCTGGAACAGGCTCCTGGCTTCGGCCCACTTGGGGAGTGAATCATCGGATGGAAGATCTTCCTCTCTATCTCTCCTCTTTGTATATCTGCCTTTCCATAAAAATAAAATAAATCTTTAAAAAGTTCCCCGTCTTTGCCTCTGCCTTGTGGGTAGTCAGCCTCTTCCCTCCAAGTGCTTTAACATTTCCTCTTTTTGATATTCTTAGCTTCTTTCTGTTTATCCTGCTTGCCTGTTATGCTGCTTTTTGACCCTGAGATTTGAATTATGTCATGAAGTGTACATATTCTTGGCTATTCTTTTAGTTATTTCCCCTCACACTCTACATTTGATCTTATAACTTTACATTCCATTAATGATATAATTGTCCATTAATGTGAGGGTGATAAAGAAGAATTTGAGAAGTGTACCCTGCGATGGACATTCTGCACAGTGGTTGGGATGTTGCTCAGGATACTAGGTTCAAGTCTCGCCTGGCGTTCCTGATTCCTTCTAGCTGTTGCAGAGTGAGAGGCTGCAAGTGATTTACTCATGTTGCTAACTCCCTGCCACCCATGTGAGAGATCTAGAGTTAGTTCTCAGCTCCTGTCTTTGATAGGGCCCAGGGCTTCCTGTTGCAGATATTTGAGAAGTGAATCAGTTGTTGGGGATATTTTTCTCTGTCTAATTCTCTTTCTGCAATAAATCTCTTTAAAAAGCTAGATGGATGTTGCACATGGGTTTAATCCTCCACTTGGAACCTCTGCATCTTTATTGGCAGAACACCAGGGATCTAGTCCTGCTTCTGTTTCTGATCCAATTTACTGCTAATGATCAACCTGGGATGCCTGTCACTGATTTGAGAAACCCATCCAAAGTTCTTGTCTCCTGTCTTCAGCATGGCTCAGTCGCAGTTGTTCCAGGCATTAGAGGAATGAATCAGCAAATGGAAGATCATTCTCCCTCCTTCCCTACCATTCAAAAAAATTAAAAGAAAAGAAAAGAAAAGAAAGGAAAAGAAAAGAAGCGAAGCTCAGGACAGCACCATTGGCCCAACTAGCTAATCCATCTTACCATACTGACACCCCATATGCGTACCAATTCCTGTCCTGGCTGCCCCACTTCCCATCTAGCTCCCTGCTTATGGCCTGGCAAAGCAGTGAAGGATGGTCCAAAGTCTTGGGATCCTGTACACATGTGGGAGACATGGGGCCCGGCGCGGTGGCGCAAGTGGTTAAGGTCCTCGCCTTGCACGCCCAGGATCCCATATGGGCGCCGGTTCTAATCCCGGCAGCCCCACTTCCCTTCCAGCTCCCTGCCTGTGGCCCGGGAAAGCAGTTGAGGACAGCCCAAAGCTTTGGGACCCTGCATCCGTGTGGAGGCTCCTGGCTTCGGATCGGCATAGCATCGGCCGTTGTGCTCACTTGGGGAGTGAATCATTGGACAGAAGATCTTCCTCTCTGTCTCTCCTCTCTGTAGATCCTCTCTGTAGATCCGCCTTTCCAATGAAAACATAATAAAAATAAATCTTTAAAAAAAGAAAAGAAACATGTGGGAGACATGGAAGAGGCTCCTTGCTCCTTACTACTGGCTTAAGATCAACTCAATTCCAGCTGTTGCAGCCAAATTTGAAGAGTGAACCAGTAGATAGAAGATCTTTCTCTTTTTCCCTTCTTTTCTCTGTAAATCTGCCTTTCCAATAAATAAAATAAATAAATCTCTTAAAAAACAAACAAAAACTCTAGTCCACCTATCCTTCCAAGGGTATACCCAGCCACCTTCATATCTGGGTTGCTATAAACTTAGTTTCCAACCTCCTCTCCTCTCCTCTTTTTTGCTGTCTCTTTCTCTCTCTCCCTCTCTCTCTTTCTCTCTGACATACACACAGTTCTTACCAGTCTTCATTTTCCCTTTAATGTTCTATGTGCATTCTCAGATCCATTCAGCCCCTTCTCTCACTTATGTGGTCTCCATGGTTGATGAATCAGACCTTTAAGTTTTCCAGTCCACTGAGTTTCTTAACTTCAATGAGTACAGTTTGAGAATGCTTTGTTCTTCATATCTGCCAGGTCATTTTGAATATCATTGCTTCATCATACACATTATATCCACTTTCATTGCTTTAATTATATTAAGTCAGATTTTATCTTTTATCTGATTTTTCAATTTGTGCTTTGTTGCTGACTCTGTTGATTTTTTTCCCCTTGAATTCTTGCCTGAGATGGCTTGCTTACTGAGCCATTTTTTTTTTTTTTATTCTTGTCTCTGGAAATATTTTAATACCTGAATTTAAGTTTCATTTCTCCAGAAAGAAGTTGTGTTTACTTTTGTTTGTTGATGCTAGTGTAAAAGTCAAATAACTTTAAATTATTAGTTTGTACTTTGGGGATGGGGAAATGAGGGCTACATATTTGTGTGGGGTACAGTATAACTGCATGGCTAAGAATAGAGAGGAGATATTTTCTAGGTTGATTGGATGGTTCACCTAGACCTTGAGAAACAGGCAAATCTGGCTCTGCAAGATGAAGTTTCTTTCTGGTTCACATCTTAGATCCCCATTTTTGCCTCTGTGGTGGTATGTTGAGCTTAATGCACAGGTAGCACAGGTAAGCCCAGCCTTAACCCTGTGCTTTCTGTCTCTCTCTTATTTTATTTTGGATTTTTTTTTTATTCGTTACTCTTGGGAAATCAAATTTACAGAGAGAACAAGAGACAAAGATCTTCCATCTGTTACTTTACTCCCCAAGTGGCCACAACAGCCAGAGCTGAGCTGACCCAAAGCCAGGATCCAGGAGCTTCTTCTAGGTCCCCAATGTGGGTGCAGGGTTGCAAGGCTTTGGGCTGTCCTCAATTGCTTTCCCAGGCTACAGGCAGAGAGCCAGATGGGAAGTAGAGCAGCCTGGATATGGAATCCCAGCGCATGTAAGGCAAAGACTTTAGCCACTAGGCCAAGGCTCCGGGTCACTATGCTTTCTCTCTTGCCATCCACAAAGATCATTGAATGATCTTTTCATTCAATTTTAGGTCATCTGTTTCACCATAATGTCTGTAGTGGAAATATGTATGTTCTTACTTAGTGGAACTTTTTCATGATGTTACAGCAAAATAAAGGAAGGAGGTATTTTTTCCCTTAATTTCTGCTTGATATGTAATTGGAAATGTGTGCTGAATTTTAGAATTGAAACTAGGAACAAATAAAGATTACATAAAATTAATGGATAAAATTGTAAGTTCTCTTTAAGATCATTCTAAAATTCTGACATCAATAAATCTAAGTAGCACAGTCATTCCAAAATAATGTCTATAGTGAGATATTCCTATGTAAATTATGTACAATAAAAACATGTGATAGACATTGGGGTAATATGATTAAAAAAGACCCAAACCAAGTAGCCAATGAGGCTCCAGAATATGTTAAAACCATGTATACCATAAACCCTGCCTTTTCATTTTTATTGATTTAGTTTTTTTGTAGAATTAGGTGATAACTAAGATACTGTTTTCAATCAATGACCAACAGTAGTGAAGATTTCATTTTGCAGAAACCAAATGCCCTGAACGAATTAAGAAAAAGCTGTTCGCTAATTAATAAGGCTTATTCGTATGCAATCTGCATGGAAACATCTATATTCTTTGTTTTGGCTTTCCCAGCACATTTTTACATCATCTCCATTTCAACATTAAATTTTCGGTCACAAATTTAAGGCAAAGGAGCCTCCTGACTTGAAATCTAAATGGGATACGTTTGCTTACTCTCTTAAACAAGTTGGCAGAGTGGGACATGTAGGCTCCATTTGTCCTTATGTGTACCTGCTCCGTTTCCCAGCCCCAGCAGCCACTCCTTGCTAATGTAGATCATGAGAGGCAGTGGTGACGGTTCAGGAAACTGAAATCCTTGTAACTCCTTCCTTGCTTCCAATTCTGCACAGCTAGCCGAGCCAGCTCCAACTCTTATGGGCCCTTGGGATGCAAACCAGCAGCCAGAGATTCCCCCATTCTC